CACAACAATTTGGAAACAAGACAACTTATTTTCAGTGCAGATGTATAACAAGCTAGATAAATCAGTAATCTGAATACTGCAAGCTCCTCACTGTCATATCTACAAATAGGAATCCTTGTCTTATAATGCTTTCATCAAGAAACTACATATGAAGATACATGCAACCCCTTCACATGACTTATAGTAGTCATAAGGATAAAAGAGCAAGGCTTTTGTTGGAAAGTCTGACATCGTCATGTAATGTGGAAAGTTCTCCTCTTATGATAAGAATTGTGCATTACAGCAAATGATGTACAGCTAAAGAGCAGCAGTGAACTGCAACTGAGCCTACAATAAAAAGGCAACAAGAAAGAGACACTTGAGACAAAACAGATACACCGCAGTATCTGTAACCTAGATACAAGTAACACCTCACTGACTTCTCACTCTTTAAAAGGAGATGAATATAAAGCATAATTATCACTACAGGATGAGAAGTAATAGAAGTACACTACACACACTATGACTGCGTTGCTTCATTTTTACACCACCAATGCTTGTTTCAGCACAACATTAAACCTAAGACGTAATGAGATGACACTTGGCTGAGATAAGGAATTTCCTACCGTGGAGATGTTTCTTTCTACATTGTGACTTACAAACAAATGCTCATTAGGAAACAAGCTCCCTCAAGCTTCTCACTCTACAGAGAGCGGCAAGTCGGGAGTTGCAGTGCCTCCAGCCCAACACATGGCTGCAGCAGCTTGTGGCACAGAAGATCCAGAGCGTTATTGTTCAGAGGAAAGTACAACTTAAAAATAAAAATTAAAAAAAAAAAAAAATCAAAAAAGCAAACATAGAAACTATGCCAGAATTGAACTTAAAGGAAAAAAAAAAGATGATTTGCAAAAGTGTATCAGTAGAGGGCCAGGGCACAACAACACTGCTTATACCTTCACACACTGCTAACAAGCAAGCCAAGCACAATGAGGAAAGCAGGCAGTGACCGTCCCTCGGGCGTGCTTCCCACCTGTGGTGCACTCAGCTCCGAAGGGACAGCTCACCCGGTGCCACCAAACAGCAAAGAACCACCAGCCTACCACAGCACAGCCTCATGTCCCTAACGCAGGCACGGTGCCGCTGTGCCCTTACTGAAGCTGCTGCAGATTCAGACGGTGCCGCACAAGTAAGGTTACAATAGACGTCCCTCCTCGCAGAACGCACCGCACAGCTGACGCGGTCCCGAAGGAGCGGAGCGCTGCGGCACCTCCCGCTTCCTGCGGCCGCACCTGGCGAAGGATCCCGGCGCAGACACACAGCTCTGCCCACGCAGCCGTGCCAGCGCTCCTTCCCCACAGCCACAACGGCACAAGGCGCAGCCCCAACGAGAGTTAAAGCAAAAGCTCTTCCCCCACATTTCCACGGTTTTTCCCTCGCACGCCAAAAGGAAGGATGATTTTTTTTTTTTTGTCCCGTTTTTTTCAGGCCGGGTGCTGCGCAGCCCCTCGCCCCCCGCGAGCCCCAAAGGAATTACCCTTGAAGAAGCGCAGCGCCAGGCCGTACAGCTCCTCCAGCGCGAAGCCCCAGCGCCGCTCCGGGCTCAGCGCCGCTGCCGCCTCCTCCCCGCCGGCCTCCGCCTGGCTCGGGCAGCCGGGGCCCGCTCGGTTCCGCCCCGCAGCCGAATCCCCGTGGCCGGGCCGCGCTTCGCAGGGCGGCGCCTCGGCGTTGGGACTGAGCGTCAGACCGTCCACCGACACCTCCAACCGCTCGGCGCTCAGAGCCGCCGCCATCCTCCGGCTCCGCTGCGGCGGCCACGTCCCGACTTCCCGTTCCCTCCGACCCGGAACTTCCGGTCCCGCCCCGCCAGGGCCTGCCTCAGGCCGCGCCCCCTCCTGGACGGCCGCTCTAAGCCCCGCCCACTCGCACCGGGAGCGTCGAGGAGCGCGGGCTTGGGAGTCTGCTGACGGGCGGCGGGAGGGCGGCTCCCGGCTTCTCCCTCTGTTCCCTCGGGAAACGCGGCTCAGAGCCGGCACGAGAAGTGTGCCGGGCCGTTGTTTCTCCGGAGCTGTAGCTGCAGTGAGCTGGTGACCGCCAGGCAGTGTTCGCAGTAACGCACTGAGGCGTCCGTCCCCAGCGCTGCCCAGGAGCTGCCCTTCCCTTCGGCGCGCCTCCACTCTGCTCGCTGATCTCGGCAGAGCTGGTTATTAAGTCACTGTTACAGCGTGCTTTGAAGCCTTCGGATGAAAGGCAGAAGAGATGTGAAAGCTGTATTTAAAGCATTTCCAGTCAGTATTTCTTGAAAGCGCCGATGTCACTCGCGGCCCTGTTCAGTACAAACGTGCCCGGATAGAGGCAAAGTCTCGCTCAGACGATAGTTAACCTAAGCTTCAAAAGACGTTTCACAGCCACTTATAAATCCTTTGTAGCTTCTTCACTCGCTTCTGCTTGTTTTGGTTTTGGCTGAGGATCACAAACATCACGCTACTCCTTCCTTTTCCCCAAGACTACAAAACAGGGGTGCATCGCCCCCTTTGGAGCGTTTTGCTTCCTAGGGCGTGCAGCTCTGTCTGTCTGGCACCATCTCATGCACGGAGCCGAGGGCAGCACAGATAACGCTATCTCCTCCTGCATGCACGCCTGCACCCTGCTTTGCAAGCACTATTTCAACATCAGATCTGGCTTTGCATCAAGATGTGTTAGTTCATCTACAAGATTACTTTCAATCTATTCTCAAAGTTTTCATCTGGCACGTTTCCTGCTTGGTTTGCAGAGGCCATCCTTCATAGATACATACATACATGCACATATATATTTTTGCATTAATTCTGTGGTTTAATACACAGTGAGCTTAATATTAAACTTTCCACTTTAAGAAATGTTGAAGTCTTTATCCTAAAATACATCCTTAAAGAAACCGACATTTTGATCCCCACAAGGTTTGCTAATTTTCTCTCAAATGGAAGGAAATATTTTCATTTTATATACCAGCAAACCCAGAGGCGTTTCTGCTTCGTGGCAGAAGCCGCCTGCAATCAGACAGCCCTTCGTTTCCCCATGTCTGGAGACCAAGCTAAATGCAAGATGCTCCGTGAGCATCCCACTTGACAAGCTGATTTGGAGAATGAAGACAGAAAATTGATTTGTCTCATAACAGGATCTCTTTTGCAGCAAATGTTTGACACTTCTAGTAAACGTGTGACTATTCATCTCTTCTTCTGCCAGCCCTGCTATGCCAGCCCTGCTATGCCCTACAACAGGCGTGCCAGCAGAGCGGGTTTCTCCACAACACACAGTATAGTCTGCTGGAGAGGTTGCAGCTGGAGGGCAAGACACCTGTCAGTGTAGCATCCAGCTGAGGCATGGCTATGGACAGCATGCTCTGCTGCAGCTCTGCAGCCTGGTGTGCGGCTGTTCAGAGCCAGCAGGCTCAGCAGATTTACCCTCAGCACCTCTCTGCACAGCTATCTGGTGAGCATGGAATTGCTCACTACACCCACTCTCCTCTGCTCCGTGCTGCTTTGGGGTCCTGTTTATAAAGACAGATATGGTGTCAGTACAAAATACTAGAAAAAAAAAAAGGCAGGTTCAGATTTTGAGTCTGGAAATCCTAGTCTGGAATAATGTAATAAAAAATGAAGAAATACATTTTCAGAAGAAAATTTTGAATTTGCACTGATGCAGTGATGGCTGTGTAGCTATCACTGTGCAGTGATAGCTGGCACGTGCTGTTTGCTAGAGCAAGGGCTGCTAAATATTTGGTTATCTCAAATGAGCATCTCAGAGCAGCTAGGTCTGCCACTGCGCTATGGGCTCACCTGCTGTGAAAATAGGGTTAGCAGCTTTGCAGGAATGGCTACGTTGAATAAAACAGGTATGAACACTGTTGCCAGGCATACTGTTGTCATACCAGCCCAGAGCTCCTGTAGCTCAGGACTGCACCTTTTGGCTTATACTGGCGAACGAGGAAAGTGGACTGCCTGGTTGGTAGGGAGAGCTATGTGCACCTTTCAGAAGGTGCTCAGATTAATGGAAGTGTTTCTGCCAGCGTTGCCCACTTCAGTGATCACTCAACCTCTTCCATCACCGAGCTGCTCTTCATAGGGGCTTCTAGCTTTTCCTGGAGAAGAGAAGCCCAGTGTAACCCTACTGCAAGTGCACAAACCAGTGAATCTTCTCAGGAACCCTTAAGATGTTCCAAACACATTTAACTCAAAGATTACACTTCAGGCATTCATACATGTGCAGTAAATTGGCTTTGGACATACTGCGATCAGCAGAGCTGGCACAATAACGTGTAATGGCACCACAGGACTAATTGAGTGAAAATCCTAGTGAGTCATTTCAATCTGTCCTTTCTCATTAGTTCTTGTTTGCCCAAATGTTGAATAAACTCTATGGAGAAAAATAAGCCCACTCAAGGTTTTATGCTTCTATTTTTCAGTTAAGCAAGAGAGCATTCTGTTTCTTCAAGACCTCCACCACAATCAACTTAATCAACACAGTCAACAAGACTTCAGTTTCAGTTTTTCTAAGAAATAATGAAATCAGCAGGAACGAAGAGAAAGAAAAAAATATATGGAAGTTTTTTACTAGAAAGCAGTGGATTGTTTTTGTTGATGCCTGAGAATAACCATAGCACTGTTCTATTTTTTCTTCCAGTAAAGCACAGTGTAATCTCGCCTTGCACGCAAGAACAAACACTGCTGTGTGTTTCACATCCTGTTGGACGACTGAATGACTGCAGTACAGCAGCAACCTTTAAAACACATTGGATCCCTTCTGGGACCTCTACACGGCAGGGTGAACAATATCCATCTTTACTTCAAAGGTAACACAGCTCACTGTGCTGCTTGCTGCCTTGTATTTATAGAGTAATTTATGGTGACGTTCACGCTGACTTCTTTAAATTATGACATGAGCTGCGGGATAACGGTTAATCAGATGTAGAGTCTGGCAATACCTTTTTCACAGTGTCAGCAAACACTGCTGAAAAACAGCTTTATTGACAGAGTGCTGGAGAGACTCATAAGGAAAAATACACGTGTGGAAGGCTATCTTCCCATTGTATTCTCATTCTGACAGAGAGCAAATGTTCCTTAGGATGGATGCAGTTATAACAGATACAGATGATCATAAAAGAACAATTCAGACTAATAAAATAATTATACCAGTTTAATATATCTTAGCTGATGCAATTGCATCCGCAACTGTACAGCTCTGTAACCAATCATGCTCTTTACAGGCACATGAGCTGAGAGCAGTACAGCACTGTTATCAATAAGTTCTTGCTAAGCAAGATATGGTTAGGAATTTAAGCACTTCCTGAATTTAACCAACTCCTCTAATAAACTGATTTTACAGAAGAGAGGACATGGAAATCAGTGCAATTAGTGATTGCATTGTTGGCTATCTGCCCAGAGAAAAACTGAATCAACCACAACAATGACTTACATTCACGTAAGGTCAGAGCACTTTTTGGTGCTCTTTTGAAACACCTCCAGAAGGGCACTGCCCTCTGGTTCAGGGTCTAAACCCCACTAGCACGTGTTCCCAAGGGGCCCTGCAGGGCCAGCATGACCCTGCCCTGAGTTCTGCTGGTATTTCAGAAAACATCAGCATCCTCCTCCATGCTTTGCTGTTACACAGCTTCTGCCCTCTTGTATTTTTTCCTTTTGCCTTGATTTTTAAATGAGCTATATCTGCCTTTGGGTCTTCCAGGCACCCAATAGCACAGGGACTAATAGGCAGAAAGGTGCTTACTTTTCAAAACCGTTTTCTGAGCCTCCTGCCTGTGATCTGGGGAGAGCAGAGCTATGCAGGCACTAAGTGGTGCTATTCACATCGCTCCCTTCCATCCAGCAACCAGACAGGTAACACACCTTTCAAAACTGTGCATTAAGCCTGTCCTTCTTCACCTAATGATGAGGTGAATGCTTTTCAACGGAGAGTTGTACAGTTGGTTCCCATTTGCTCAGCTGTGGCTCTCTTTTTTTCATGCTGTTTATTTTCCTTCTTTGGGTTGAATTGAAAATGAGCTGTTGTGAAATGGCTGCTGTCAGAAGGAGCCACCCTGGCCTCCTCCCAGTCACAGACACCACACAAGCTCATCAGCATCCTTGCGCCAGGACTTACACTCATCCCACCTCCATCCTTCACCTAATTAAGCAGGCAGAATACTCTGTTTCTCAGGTGCTGGGTTAGTTTGCTGCTGACTTAGAGGCCTAGTTCCCTGAGGTCAAGCAAGCACTGGAAGTGGCAGGAGCGTGCTGCTCGGAGCAGGGAAGGGAGGATAGAGGCAGGTCATCCTTGCAGTTAGAGCTGCAAGCTAATGCCAAATAGTGGTGATCTCACTCCATTACTGCTTCCAGCTGTGTTCTCCATCCTTCTCCCTTGAGCTGAATCCAGTGATGGAGTGACTTCTGGGTGAGTTGATTCAGCTGGCCCATCTGGCTGAAAACTATTCATTTTCATGGTTAGTTTTCTGCTGCTCTGATGAGCAGATTTTGCCCTGTGGCCACACAGCACTAGATGCAATTTAAGGAAAGCAGTGTAAATGGGAAACAAGGACAGCAACTAGCTTGTAGACAAACTCAGCCGTAATACCAGACTGCACCTAAGAAGCAGCTAGATCAATCCAGCTCCCCTGCTGTCACTGAAATAACCAGATCTCTAGGCAGCTTGCTTTCCTACCTGTGTTCTTCTGTTCTAACAGACATATTCTCAGTGCAGAAAGAGTATTTTTATCTCCCTTAATCTGTGCTCAGAGAATTGCATTAGAGCAGGCAATTTCAATTTCTTCTGATACGTGGACTGCTAGTGGACAGGCAGATCATGCACAGCAGAACTGAATCTATTCTCTTCCATCCCTTTATGGTTTTTGTGTTCACAGTGGCAACAAACACAGACTGAAGTCTAGTGCACAGCTCAGAACCCCTGAGAATCACGAAAGTCCCACCAAAATGGTGATAGTTATCAGGTATCATTTTCTTATTTTTTTGTTTTTCATCCAGGATAATAAGTAAGGGCAGATTATGGGGAGCAAAGTGCCTAAACAAAGATGGAAACAACCTGCTCACTCCTGTTTCTTATTGGGCATCAATGGACAAATTACTGAGACAGGACTTTCATTTTCTCTCAATTGTGTATGAGTAGGATATCCTCAAAGGAGATAAGCAATAATATAATTTCATAACATGAGAGCATTTGTTACAAAGTGGAGTAACAAGTCTAGGTTTGTTTCCAGGCTGCACTTGAAATTGTGCCTTTCCTTGGCCTGCAGAAGTCCCTCTTTGAGAGTCTGTGACACCTCTCCCCATCAATCACTCCAGAAGGCTGTTTTGGTGCAGTGGGGTTATAATGGCAGTGCTGGCTCTCAGGGAAATAGAGCCTCTCTCCCTCCTTTTTTTTCCGTCTCCACCATACTGTGTTGTTATTGTTGTTGTTGTTTTTAAGTGGCTTTATTCCCAGGTCTGGCACGTAGTCCAGTCACATAAAAAACTGAATCAGTACAACTGCCAGGGCAAAGGGCTGCAAAGAGATAAGTGTGAACGAGTTAAATGACAGACAGGATTTCCTTAACCTGCCAAATCCTCATTTTTCATCACATCTTGAGTTCAGGACTGGCACATCTGGCACATCTGTCACCTGAGCTAGCACCTTTGGCTTAAAGTGCCTGAAGTTTATTTACATACCTTCTCACCCCTATGTTGCTGATACTTGAGAGCTGCCGAACAGCTCGTGTATTTCTCCTCTTGAATACAGAGAGATATGAATCCTCTTCCTTTTGTATGCTTTCCTACAAGATAATGAAATCTTTGGGTATGGAAGGAAAGGACATAATAACAAATAATTGGATGTGGTCATGGAGTCATCAGCTGGGGACCTCACGTATCTCATACAAAACAGGGTCTGGTGTGGCTGGCATAACAGGCAGTTTTGGGAGGGAAACACAAAGCAAGAGGTAGAAAACAAGCTTATAAAGGAAAATCTTAACCGAGTTGATTACATCCCACTGGCTGGATTTCTGAGCCCAGGAAGGAGAGTCTGAATGCTTCGTTCAGTGGTGCTGTGCCCCTGCACAGCAGTCCTAGAACAGCAGAAGTTAATGCTCAAAATGCCAGCACTAGGCCCCCGAGATAATATGCTATCATAATGAAAGGAGCAATTCTCTTACTTCTGTCTCCAAAAACTGCCTGACACTTGAAGAGCCTTACTAGTGCAAGTATGTGAGTTAAGAGCTGCATCCTTTGCTGACACAGTCACACTGATAAGAGCCTTCATTTAGATGCAGCTCTACAGACACAGGCAGGAAGACCAGATCTTTAACCTCACGGAGACACTCACAGCAACAAAGTCTTTCTAGTAGAGACAGGCTCTTAGGCTCAAAAGGATGTGAATGTGAATCTCCTGTGTGTTGCTTTTGTTACAGGACTCCATGGAGTGCTTATCATTGTAATCGTTGTATAGTCTTTATATAACAGCAAAACACAGAGAACAAAACACACTCACATATATATAAGACATGTAATGAAATACTGTTACATTTTCCAGTTGAAGGACAGGCTCTGAAATTCCCAGCAGATACTGAAATGTCTTTCTAGATCAAACCTGGATGAGAAAATCCTTTGCCAGATGGATTGCTAAGCATCAGCAGCAATGTGTCCAGCACCTCCCAGCACCCTGCTACCAAGGACAGGCAGCCAGTTCTTGCTAAGTTTCTCTATTCAAAAAGAGGGCAGTAGCAATCTTAGCTGGTTGAACCTGTGGTGTGAAATGTCCAATCCAGGTCCTCAGGCATTCATTATGACCCCTCACGTCATTTTGCGTGTGAAATGTAATTATCTCACTGTTGATCACCTAAACAGAATAATCACAGAGTCACAGAATATCCCGAGTTGCAAGGAAACCATGAGAACCATCATTCCAGCCCCAGTCCCCAGACTGCTCTGATCATGAAAGTGAGGTTCTGGCCCTGATTAGGACTCCCAAGTTTCACAAAACCAAATAAGTGTTGAACATGACCGGTTTGACAAAAATAATACTCTCTATGTAAAGGCAAATAACTTAATGCACTACAAAAAATCCAATCATTTTGATCTTCTTAACAGTAACTTTATAGATGGGAGAAAAATATCCATCAGGGTGACTGGAATGTCCTAAAGGTCCAAAAGGAAAATCTCTCTAGCTGCAAGAAAACAGGTCAGTTTTAGCAACGCATTAATTGCAAAATTATCCAAGTTATTAATTTTTATTTTAAACATGTATACTTTTTCTTTTTGAAGGAGCTTTTTTTTCCTTGGAATTTGTAAAATGCACTATTAGGAGAACACCTGCTTTCAGATAACACTTATTTTTCCCAGTGGCCCTCTGCAAGATCTTGCCTTCTATCATGTTGGCAAGAGTTAGTTCAGCAATTGCCTTTGACACTGTGAAGCTCCAAGTCTCTGCAAAGAAGTAGTGAAAGGATTACTTGAACTAGTCACTGTGGAAAACCATAGCCATAGGACCAGGATAGCAGCAGCCTGTGGCTACTGCATGAGACAGGCAGCTTCATCCTGTCACCAGTGTGGGACTGCACAGCATTTTTCCTTTCAACAGATGAGCTCACTGCCAGCGACTTACTGATTTCAATTCTGGAGATGCGGGAGCCACTTACCTATTGCACAGCCTCAGAAAAAGGTAGACAAGAGCTTTACAGAAGGTCTCAGGCATCCCTATTCCGACTGGAGACTGCTCAGTTTCTAACAAAACGAATTGTCAGCTATCAATAGATATATGAAAGCCTTAACCTGTGGAGTGTTACAGGATAAATGAAGGCTGTGGTTGGGGAGTTACTGAATGCTTGAGGATTTCCAGTATCTTGATTTCTAGATGCCATTAAAAATCCACAACCTCAAATTTCACAGCAACTCAGCTCCCCCTGTGAGACCATTATGCATCCATGACTGGACACAAGGATGTGCCACTTCTTAACCTGACAGCATATTGCTACATGCTGCAGCATGTAAATTCAGCTCTGCTGACATGTCAGCCTCCTTCAGTGTAAGTTTATTCAAGCAACCGTGCAGTATATGTTTGCATGGGTATTTTCACATACAAGAAGCAAATTCTCTCTGCTCCTTATTCTGCTAATTTTGCACTCACAGCTGTTTCTTGAAGGAATTCATCTTCTGAACTGTGAGGTTGGGTGCTGAGCCCCACTGGGTTCACTGCTGCGCTTCGTGCTTTCAGTTCAGACCTAGAGGTCTCTAGGAACTTACCTCTGTTCTGATTCTTGCATGAGCTTGTAACATGAACTGTTGATTAAAAATATACAACCTTCTACCATCTCTGTACTTGTATGAGAAGCAGTTTCCACAGCAAAGTAATCAAGTGATTGCAGTGCCTCGCTGCGCTGCCTGCTGCTTGTGCCTCTGGAATCACGAAGTAGAAGCAAACCCTAAATGACAAGACCCTGCTCCCAGCAACCTCTGCTGAGCTCATTAATCCACGGGGTCATGATGTGGCACTGCTGCCGGAAAACAGCTGGGGTGGGTCTGTTTTTCTCCAGCCTGCACGTAAGTGAGACCAGAGCTGCCAGACACTGCTCACACCTGCAAACAGTGGGAAGTGAGTGAAAGCAGGGGAGCCTCCCCGAGGATTTTCAACAGAGCCAGGAAGCTGACATTGAGGCTGCTCCTTGGCTTGCTCACAAGCTTTCTGTGTGTCTTCAGGCCACTTGCTCTCATTTCTGGGTACCTCTGCAATGTCCCTGTATGAGTGCTGGGTGCCAGGGCTCAGTGAGCTCAGGCAGGACTCAGACACAGGCAGGCCTGTGCCATGGTGGGCTTGATTCCAGCCCAGAGGCTTTGTCTGATGCAAAATCACTCCTCACATTGCCTAACTGTCTTGTCACCTTTGGTAACAGCCGTGTTGGAAGCCGACCATTTCCTCTCAGACAAGTGAGCTCACTGCCACTTCAGACCTGTGTCAAAGGACTTTGCGTGTCACTTACAAACAGGCCATTCTCCATCCCCACTACAAAGGCCCTATCTGCACTACAAAACAAACACAACTGACCCACATACAACAGAGCAGCCTTTTTGCATTGGTTTGTCCCACCAAGGAAGGGACCTGGAGCTGAGGAGGTTTGGAACTTTGCTTTCCATCAGCCTGAAGGCGACACTTTGCTGTCTGTGCTAATGCACACCCAGCTGCCACAGCTGACCAAGCCACTTGGCAATGCTCCACTTCTCATATTGCTTCAGCACACGTCTTGAACATCATTTATCAGAACATCATTTACAAGTTGTCTCCAGGAGTGAAGCTTACTCCAGGAGACAACTTTTTTTTCCTATTCTCCAGGAGTAGGAAAATATATCTTGGTAGAGTCCTTATTCAGAGGCCCAGCCAAGACCCCATTTCCAGTACTGCCACAGTGTATTTTGCTAACACAATTCCACATTTATTACTTGCTGTCTGCTCACTCTGGATAAACAGAATTTATTTTCTGACTCTAGGGGAACCCTGAATGTGGTTTTGAACATGTGGTCACACCCAGCTAAGGACAAAGATGTGCTTCATATGCCAGGTAATATACTGCTGGACTCACTCCATGCAGTCCAGACGAGCTCAGTTTACAACTGTATGTGAGTAACATCTAGCCTGCCCAAAGCAAAGCTTTGCGGGTCTGCTGTCATTGTGTTGGAATTGCTAATGGCATGCAGTCAAGTGCTAAGGAAAAAGCATGCTACATTGCAAGCCCAGATAAAATAACTTTTTTGATAACAAACTGTGTAAAATTACCCAGATTGGCTTACCTCAAGTTCCTCCTTGCTTCTAGAGAGTTTATCCCACATTCCTTGAGCTATATAATGAGATGATTGCTACAATATTTTATGTTGGCTGTGTGGCACATGAAATAGGGCAGAGTGATAATACAGCAGAGAGGGTGTAGAGCAGCAGCTGTTACACTTTCAAAGAGCATTACTGATCTTTTTATAGTTTGCTGCAGTTGACATCACAGCTAAATAGAGTCTCACTCTAAAATATAATTCACCCAGCCTATGCAGCCTTAAAGCCATGCATCGCTGGGAGGAGAGAGGGTCACAGGAAGCGGTGCAATGCCAGAAAGGCAGTAAAAGCATGGGGATATGGCTGCTTCTTTTCCCTGCATGCATTACAAAAGGCTTCCCCAGGAAGGCCAACCACCTCTGGAAAACAGCAAGAGAGCATAACCTCTAAAATTACAGTTGCTGCTTTTATATTGGTGTCACTGTGATGCTGCTAGAAGTGGGTAAAAGCAACTGTGCAGTACAATTCATCGGTGAGAAGTATCCCACAGCAGACCTCCCTCATGAGCCTGAGTGCATGAGCTTTCAGAGCTTTCAGGAGCGTGCTTTCCACCAGCAGGCTACTCACTAATAAGAAAATAATGAAGCTGGGCTTAGGGGAGACCCAGACAGTACTCAAGGGCAATGGAAATAATGTCACAGTGGTGGCTGAAACTCAGCCAAATAGTTTTAGCACAGCAGATTCACCAGTGCCCATTGTGTGAGGTTTGGCCGTCAGAAGTCCTAAATCCATGCCATGCGTGCACGTGTCTGAAGTTTAATATACAGTTGTGGTGATTCCTTGACAGTTGGCACTTGACAATTGGGCTTGATGATTTTATAATCACTGAGGTTGGAAAAGATTTCTACCTTATTGTACATACTCCATATGAATGGGTTGGGTTTCTGAAGTAGCTTTCATGGTTTGACACATACTGCACCTCTCCTTGGGTTCTGTGACCAAAGAATGTTTGGTTTCCATCTGTTTTCTTCTGAGATTTCTCTCATGGGAAACATATCCCCCTGAACTGCCCTGTTTCATCCTGTAGGGATTTGCCATTGCAACAAGAAGTTACCTTCACCAGGAAAGGCTGCAAAACCGAGGAGACAGTGCATCATCACAGTCTGAAAACCTTTCCTTAGCACTGGTTATATGGCATGCCAAAAATGTCCTATGTAAATTATGAGTACAGCATCTTTCACAGTCCAGCACTGTTTACTGTCTGAGGGGTGTTACGGCACACTCTGACCTTAAGAGAAAGCTGCATGCACACAAGCCTTCTCTGTGCTAGGAAACTCATTGTCACCTTCACCAAGTGAACTAGCACATATTCAGCACATATTCACTGGCCAAGAATGATCAGCACTGCCTTCTTCCTTCCAAAAAAGGTCAAGTGAATTTCTGCCTAAAGCATATGACACTGCAACAAAAAAGTCCACTGCAGCCTCACACCAATGTCGTTGCCGCCCTGCTTATGCTGTGCTCCCACCTAGTGCTACAGGAGGGGATCTGGCCCAGTGTGTCACACCACCTCCTTGCCAAGGCATGCACTGCCTGCTCTCCTGGCCTGGCTTTATGTTATGCAGGGTAGCTGAGAGTGCTGCCCTACAGTGACCCCACGATGCCAGCAGCATTGCCCTCCAGGCATGCCTTCACCGTGCTTCACAGGAGGCATTCTCTTCCTTTACAAAACAAGGAGAAAGGACAGTTTAACTGAGTGAAACTTCTCTCTTTATTCTCTCCCCTTTCAATTTCCCAGCTTTTTCCATCCTGGCAAGATTTGTAAGGATGACAGCACTTTCAAAGTGCCAGAAAACCATTAATACTGCCATACTGTCACTGGCCAAGACACATATGACATTTCAGACATCCAGGTGATGCTGTGACTAATGTGATATTGTGTTCAGTTTTGCAGTTTCCAGTCACTGTCATAAGGACTTGGTGTTCACATTTCAGGAATGGATGGCCAGGCCAAAGGGTGGTGATAGTCATGGAGGAACTCCAAACAGAATCACAGACAGTGATGCTGCTGCACCCTTTGTTGATCAGTCAGCCCTGCAGAAAATTCTTATTACTCCCTTATGTCTTCTATTACCTCAAAGACGTAAGGGCAACTTCCCAGAT